GCTCTGCTGCCCTTCAGTCAGGTGTCACTGCAGGGCCAGCTTTTAAGAAGCGACAGCAGACGTTTCAGAACCCTGCACACACACACAACATTAAGATGAAGTATGTGCTGCTGAAACACAGGAAGAAACTGTGTTCACCAGAGAAATATTAGTTCTGGTAAAATATAACGGGACTGCTGAGATTTCTCAAAGAAGCTGCAATTTAGTTATTAAAGCTACAAGCTAAAAGCTAAAAGTAACCATTCACACAACTATTTTCAAAGCTAATCTGAATAGTTTTAAATCAAAGCCACAGAACATTCACATGATCACTGCTCTCGGAGCAGGTGCCTGTTTTAATGTCACCTTGTTAAAGCCCTGACAGAAAAGTAGCAAAGAAACTAACGAGCTAAACACTCTGCACGAAAACAAAGCATTGATGCATGACAGGATGAATTGAAAGCATGGATAAATGACAGGATGAACTGAAATCATGAACATATGACTGGATGAATTCAAAGCATGGATACATGACAGGCTGAACTGAAAGTAATGATAGATGACAGAATGAATTGAAAGCATGGAAAGATGACAGGATGAGCTGAAAGTATGGATAGATGACAGGATGAGCTGAAAGAATGGATACATGGCAGGGTGAATTAAATACATGGATAGATGACAGAATGAATTGAAAGGCTGGATAGATGACGGGTTGAATTATCTAAAAAAGTTAAATCTGGTCCTCTGGACATTCAAAACAAAAACCAAAACAAAGCAAAACAACAAAAAAATGTAGAAACGTTTCGTCTCTCATCCAAGAGACTTCCTCAGTCTGAGGTGCTGTATTCAGCTCAGTCTCTTAAATAGCACCTTCTCAGAGTGGATCAACCAGTTTTGCTGCTGACAACCAAAACCAGCTGATCACATGCTCAAGAAGGACCATCAGCCTAACAATGGATCATTAGCACACTGATGGCTGTTTACTACTCACAGAGGGCTGAGTGATACTAGCAATCACAGCATTGTAAGAGGGGGACAGTTGAACCCGGAGGCCTCCACCCCTGTTTAACGATTTCTTTTCACAAAGATGGCCTCCTTTACTCCTCTCTCAAAAAAATGTTCCTCTCTATCCAGGATGTACACATCTTCATCCCTGAAAGAGTGACCGCTGGCCTGGAGATGAGTGTAGACCGCAGAGTCCTGGCCTGATGATGTTGATCTTCTGTGCTGGGCCATCCTTTTGGCCAGTGGCTGTTTAGTTTCCCCGATGTAAGACTGATCACAGCCCTCCTGACACTGAACAGCATACACAATATTACTCTGTTTGTGCCGGGGGACTGGATCTTTGGGATGAACCAGTCTTTGCCGTAATGTATTTTGGGGTTTAAAAGCCACTGGGACGTTATGTTTAGAAAATAAACGTCTCAGTTTCTCTGATACTCCCTCAACATATGGAATGACCACTGGTCTGGGTCTGGGTTCCTCCTTTTCACCTGTTGGCTGACTGGAGTCCTGTTTGGGTTTCTTCTCTGCTTTCAGGAAGGCCCAGTTAGGATACCCACATTGCTCTAGAGCCTGTCTTGTGTGGGATTTCTCCTTCTGCCTGGCTCCTGAGCTAGTGGGGACGCTGTCTGCTCTGTGATACAGAGTCCTGATGACTCCTAACTTGTGCTCCAAAGGGTGATGGTAGTCAAACTGCAAATACTGGTCTGTGTGGGTGGGTTTGCGGTACACCTCAGTTTGCAAATGTCCTCTATCAGAGACTGAGACCTCACAGTCCAAGAAAGCCAACTTGCCATTCTTTTCATCTTCTCGTGTGAACTTGATGTATTTATCCACAGAGTTGATGTGATCGGATTTAATTTTAACCCAGGTGTCGTCAACATACCTGAACCAATGACTTGGTGGTGTCCCTGAAAAGGACGTCAAGGCTCTCTTTTCTACCTCCTCCATGTACAGGTTGGCAACAATAGGAGAAACTGGAGACCCCATAGCACACCCATGTTTCTGCCTATAATATTGCTCCGCATATGTGAAGTAGGTTGACTGCAGGCACAGTTTCAAGAGTTGACACAGTTGTTCTGTGGAAAGTGTGGTCCTGCTGCTCAGAGTGGTGTATGATTTTAATCTTAAACTGACCACCTCTACTGCATCATCAACAGGAATGCACGTAAAGAGTGATGTGACATCAAAAGAGACCATTGTTTCATCAGTCTCCATGATGACATCCTTCACCTTATCCACAAAGTCCATGGTGTTCTGTATGTGGTGTTCTGAGCTGCCAACTAAAGGGATGAGTACAGACGCCAGATATTTGGAAACATTGTAAGTGGCAGAGTTAATCATGCTAACAATTGGTCTTAAAGGTACACCTTGTTTGTGGATTTTAGGTAAACCATACAGACTAGGTGTGGCTTCCCCTGGGTACAGTCTGTGGTATAGAAAACAGTCAATAGCCTTGTCCTGCTCCAAAATTTTCAGGCAATTTATCAATTTCTTCTTGTAACCACTTCCTGGATCTCTTTTCAGAGGTTCATAAGTGGTTAAGTCACTAAGGAGTGTAATAACTTTCTCATGATAGCAGGGGCGATTCTAGGATTTGACCTTTAGGGGTGCTTAGCCCCCAGTGCTGAAAATGGCTCTTTGCTTGAATGACACGGCGATCATATAAGTTCAATAGTAAACAGTTATTTCAATGGATCAGATGATTGTTTCTTAAACTTCTGTTTTGTTTCTGAACCATCACAGAAAACAAAGGCAAAAGGTCTATAAACTGAGAAGACAAGAAAAAATAAGACAGAACTTTATTGTTCCCACAGGAAGTTGTTGAAGGGCTTAATCATAATGATTAGAACTGTCCAAAATAAGTGAAAAATAAATTAATATTGCATGACAAATCTAACATTGAATCACTTTTTGGGTTTTAATTCTCTGATAAAGAGTGGTGATGGTAAAGTGGTAAGGAAGCACTTCACCCTATGATAAATTGTATTTTTGCTCTTAGTTTCTCCAGAGGGAGCAGTTGTAGTGGGCTCACTGTACATCACCCTGGATAAGAGTACAGCAAAAGCAAAAGTCTAATGCAATAATTGCTCTGAAGTAGGTTGGGGAAGATTAAACAATTTTATAACCTGAAAAATAATACATCTAAGTAAAAGTACTGTAGTGGTATTTTACCATGAATCCAGGTGACTGACTGTGAGTAGTTTCACGACTGCAACAACAGAGTATATCTTAGAAGTTTTAGCGTACCATTTAAAGTACAGTTTAGCATATCTTAGATCCTTATATACCTTTACTTTTTATATTTTATACTTTTGCTATTTTTGGATGTAACTGGGACCTTGTGTACATAATTTTGTTCTACCTCATACCACATGTGATGTGAATGACAATAAAGAAACTTGAACATAACTGACTGTTCTTGCCTTCATGGCTCAAAAAACATTGTCCACAAGGTAGATGGTGGTCTAAACATTTTTAAAAGCTTTTAATGTTGATCACACATATAAATCAAATGTATCAATCAAAGGCAAATAGATTAATAACTTGTTTGTAATTCACAATTTCAAATAGTCAGTAAATTTTAAAGAAGAAAGATATGAATAGCCAGAAAAGAATGAAAATCTGGTTATAATCCTGATTAACCCACAACAAAAACTAACATCAACAACATCTAAGCAAATGTTGCTTTCTATTTTGGCAGAACTAAACTGTGTCGCCTAACCTTTAGGCTGGCAAATCTGTCAATAACTTTTTCAGAACTGACCGTGTTAAGCAACTCCTTCTCAATAGACATTACAGCCAGATCATTCAGCCTGTTTTGCCCCATGGTCCTCCTGAGCCAGGTATGGAGACGACGCAAGGCACTAAAGGACCTCTCACAACTACAGCTGCTAACTGGTATTGTCAAAGCAGCTTGAACAGTAGTTTTAAGTGAAGGGAACATGTCAGCATCAAGTAAGTTGAAAACGGTCAATATGTCTTCAACACCACCAGCCTCTGTTTTGCGTCTCATGTAATTTTTGGCTACCATCACCTCTTCTGACTTGAGGTCAATGTGATAGTGAAGTGCCAGTGCTGACAATGCTGGCTCAGACAAGAATTGGTCTGATGTTGGTCTGCATGCATTAATTCCATTTAGTAATTCCTTACCAACATCACAAAAACGCTTCTCAAGTTCTGCCAACATTCGATCCAAGCAAGGAAACAGTAGCTTTTGTTTGAGGTCTTCCAACTTTGATGTACTACTAACCTCACTGCCTGCCCCACAAGCAGACTCCACAACATATTCCTCCATTTGTTTTGCCTTACGCCTCTGAAAAGGAGGATTGTGGGTTGATATTTGGTTAGCCTCACATAAGGCCATAGCTTTGGCATGAACATTTACAGCAGTGGCATCATTGCGTTTCTCCTTGAGAGAATCAATTACTGCATTTTTGTATTCCACTGCTTGGGCGAGATCAGTGGTCTTATTCTGCAGGTATCTGTGTAAACATGCTGTTACAGACAGGAGAGTGTGGAAAACAAACAGCAAGTACACTGTTGAGAATTTACAGAGTTTTGCCTTCAGTCCTGCTGCTAAAGGTGTGTTGATGGCAGATAGGCATTCAGCGATGGCAGGGAAGTTGTCAAGTACTGCATTTACTGAACGAAGTTGGCAGGCCCAACG